CACCTTTTCCTTCGTCTGGAACTGACGTTGGCGGTGCACTCGCAATCGAGTAGGAAAAAATATGTGCGAGAAATGTGGGAGTGACCCTTCGTCGAAACACATGGGGTACATTTTCATTTTGTCGGAACAGCTTCCACATTTAGGGAGGCCGTGCTTATTCTGATATGATGTCACTTTGACAATATTAACGATTTTAGGCCCTATGATCCTTTTATAATATAGATGAACTGTGCTCAATCAACTCGACGCATGTAAACAGCATTAGTGTCACACGGGAAGAGCCAGCGAGAAAACGTAATTTCGCCAAATAGCTGGTCCCCGATGTCTTTTGTGTTCTTCCTCTCTCTCTGCACTTGGATCGTGGCTAATAGATTCATGGACTTGGGAGCTAATTTGCAGCCTCCTCCCTGTCGCTGCCGTGACACTTTCAGAGCGCAGCCTCGGCTATGCTTGTGTGGTTAAACCTAATAATACGGTGCCTCCTCGCGTCTCCTCGTCTCGCTGATTTTTATCCCCCAAGCTCACTCACTTTTTTCTCTTGGGAACACTTTGCCATATGCGAAGTAATCATTGTCGTATATAAACTGTAACTTCTTCCGTTGTCTTGGTGTAAAGTGTCCTTCATTAGTGAAGATTTCGGAACATGGTTTATGACTCCGGTCGTCTGTTTAGATCTCTGAGATGAGGCGTGAAGGGAACGAGTGGATTTACAGTAGATTAACTGATGCTGGCGGCGGCGGCGGCGGCACAGGAGATCCAGATGATAGAGCGGTGCGATGGCTGGGTAATGTTGTCCTGGCAATAAGTGCGCTAGGCCTTGACATTCAGCATTTGTTGGCTGTTGGCGAATGTGTGAATTCGGATTTTTGACGTGAACTATTGCACTGGCGGAGAATGCCAAAGTTCATCGGCCGACTGAGAAAGGTCATTTCTTTCTCTCTCCCTTTCTCTTTTTCTTTCTCTTTCTTTCTCTTTCTCTTTCTCTTTCTCTTTCTCTTTCTTTCTCTCTCTTTCTCTTTCTCTTTCTCTTTCTCTTTCTCTTTCTCTTTCTCTTTCTCTTTCTCTTTCTCTTTCTCTTTCTCTTTCTCTCTATCTATCTATCTATCTATCTATCTCCCCCCCCCTCTCGCCCTTTCCTTCCCCCCCTCTCTCCTCCATCTCCATCCCCTCTCCCTCCCCTCTCCCTCCCCTCTCTTTCTCCCACTTACACTCTCACTCACTCGCTCACTCAATCTCCCACTCCCTCTTCTCACTCACTCTCTCCCACTCTCTCTTCTCACTCTCTCCCACTCTCTCTTCTCACTCTCTCCCACTCTCTCTTCTCACTCTCTCACTCTCTTCCCTCTTCCATCATCCCTTTTGGTTTCTTCTCTTCTCTTTTCTCTTTCTTTACCCTTCTGTCCTCTCCCGATCTGTTTCCCTTTCGGCCTTGTTCTGTGTGTGTAAGAGTGCATATCACATCACTTATTGCCTCCATCACGCTCTGGTTGATGTCATGTAACGTGGTCTGTGGTGTGCCTGGTGTGACGTGGGCAATTAAGGATGGCAGAACTAGGCATGGAGGGCTTATAATGGCCGGTTATATGGAGTTGTGTGTGAGGACTGGCTCCACCACTAGTTCTGGCCATTTACCGGCCCCCCTGCTCTCTCCCCCTCCCCCGTCGCTGCCTCTTCCTCCCTCCCTCTTTCTCATCCTCCCTCCTACTTTCTCATCCTCCTTTCTGTCTTTCCGTCCTTTCTCTCCCTTTTTTTTTTATTTCCTCTCCTCTTTCTCCTCCCTTATCCCGGTTCTCCATTTTTAGAAATAATTTCTTCCCTTTTCTCCCTTCTTATCACTTGCTTCCCTATTTCTCCCCTTTTTGTGATTTTCTTCCCTATTTCTCCCCTTTTTGTGATTTTCTTCCCTATTTCTCCTTCCCTTTTTTATCATTTTCTCCCCTATTTCTCCTCCCCAGTCTCTCCTCTCCTTTCCTTCCCTCTTCCTCTCCTTTCCTTCCCTCTTCCTCTCCTTTCCTTCCCTCTTCCTCTCCCTCTCCTTCCCCCTCCTCTCCCTCTCCTTCCCCCTCCTCTCCCTCTCCTCCATCCCCCTCTCCTTCTCCTCCTCCCTCCTCTCCCTCTCCTTCCCCCTCCTCCCTTCTCTCCTTTTCCTCACCACTCCTCTCCTCCTCCCCCCCTCTCCCTCTCATCCCCTCTCCTCTCCCTCTCCTCCCCCCCTCCTCCCCCTCTCCTCCCCCCCTCCTCCCCCCTCTTCCCCCTCCCCCTCCCCTTCCCTTCTCCTCTCGACCCTCGCCGTCCTATAGCGGAGGCCACAGCTGAGTCCCTCCGTCACTCGTCTTCCTGCCTGTAATTGACGCATCAGACCCCTTCCCCTTTCCGGCCTCGTACAAAGCACAACTTCCCGCGATAGTACGGCTGGCGTGGCCTCGGCCCTGCTGATACTCGGGGGATAAACTTCGAGTCTATCAGTCTCGCGTGTCTGCGGGAACGGGTGGCGTGGCGG